GGTGCTTGTGTTGTTGTGTTGTGTTGTGCCTTGTTATGTTGTCTAGCATTGTGTTGTGTTGTGTATTGTTGTGTTGGTGCTTGTGTTGTTGTGTTGTGTTGTGCCTTGTTATGTTGTCTAGCATTGTGTTGTGTTGTGTATTGTTGTGTTGGTGCTTGTGTTGTTGTGTTGTGTTGTGCCTTGTTATGTTGTCTAGCATTGTGTTGTGTTGTGTATTGTTGTGTTGGTGCTTGTGTTGTTGTGTTGTGTTGTGCCTTGTTATGTTGTCTAGCATTGTGTTGTGTTGTGTATTGTTGTGTTGGTGCTTGTGTTGTTGTGTTGTGTTGTGCCTTGTTATGTTGTCTAGCATTGTGTTGTGTTGTGTATTGTTGTGTTGGTGCTTGTGTTGTTGTGTTGTGTTGTGCCTTGTTATGTTGTCTAGCATTGTGTTGTGTTGTGTATTGTTGTGTTGGTGCTTGTGTTGTTGTGTTGTGTTGTGCCTTGTTATGTTGTCTAGCATTGTGTTGTGTTGTGTATTGTTGTGTTGGTGCTTGTGTTGTTGTGTTGTGTTGTGCCTTGTTATGTTGTCTAGCATTGTGTTGTGTTGTGTATTGTTGTGTTGGTGCTTGTGTTGTTGTGTTGTGTTGTGCCTTGTTATGTTGTCTAGCATTGTGTTGTGTTGTGTATTGTTGTGTTGGTGCTTGTGTTGTTGTGTTGTGTTGTGCCTTGTTATGTTGTCTAGCATTGTGTTGTGTTGTGTATTGTTGTGTTGGTGCTTGTGTTGTTGTGTTGTGTTGTGCCTTGTTATGTTGTCTAGCATTGTGTTGTGTTGTGTATTGTTGTGTTGGTGCTTGTGTTGTTGTGTTGTGTTGTGCCTTGTTATGTTGTCTAGCATTGTGTTGTGTTGTGTATTGTTGTGTTGGTGCTTGTGTTGTTGTGTTGTGTTGTGCCTTGTTATGTTGTCTAGCATTGTGTTGTGTTGTGTATTGTTGTGTTGGTGCTTGTGTTGTTGTGTTGTGTTGTGCCTTGTTATGTTGTCTAGCATTGTGTTGTGTTGTGTATTGTTGTGTTGGTGCTTGTGTTGTTGTGTTGTGTTGTGCCTTGTTATGTTGTCTAGCATTGTGTTGTGTTGTGTATTGTTGTGTTGGTGCTTGTGTTGTTGTGTTGTGTTGTGCCTTGTTATGTTGTCTAGCATTGTGTTGTGTTGTGTATTGTTGTGTTGGTGCTTGTGTTGTTGTGTTGTGTTGTGCCTTGTTATGTTGTCTTGTATTGTGTTGTGTTGTGTATTGTTGTGTTTCAGTTGTGTTTCATGTAAGGCTGTTCAAGTTTTGTATTTCTGTGTTCAACGTATAAATCCGTCTTTAAGAGTAGGTATTTGATTGTGTTTTATAGGGTATACACCATTGCACTTGGCTGTCATCAAAGGAAACCGAGAAATCATCCAAATTCTTTTGTCAGAAGGAGCTAATGTAGAATCCAAGGTATGAAACAATTATACTGACAATAGGACACTATAGGACAGTCTCTTTGGACAGTCTTTTTGCACCACTTTTCGTTTCAGGATGCTCTGAACATGTGTGAAGGAGTCCCCACACCACCCTTGATATATTACACTCCCCCCCTCCCCCCCCCCCCCCCCCCCCCCCCCCCTCTGCTATATCTTGACTAGCCTATAATAAACTATAGATTTAAGATGTTTTATCTTTCATTCAGGATGGGACTTGTGGTCGGTCACCACTTCACCTTGCTATTGAACATGATAACCTGGCAATTGCTGGATACTTGATTCTAGAGGTATATATGACAAATTCCTTTTTTTATTTTTATAATAAAAGTGGAACCTCGTTAATCCGGGTGACCGTATAAACAAGGTTGAAAAGTATGGGGGTTTATTTTGCGCCGACCTGGAAATTTTACCGGTATGACGGAGTGACCGTCCTAAGTGGTCGTAAAGTGGAGTTCCAGTGTACTTGTTGTTTTGGCCATTGTATAATTATAAGTAATAGCATGGCTCTTAGGGAGATTAGGGACAAAAGAATCCGAGGTGATCATGGTATTATAACAGCATTCACGTTGCTCAACAGAAGCTGGTAGCAAGCGAAAGTCACCGTTTGTGACTGAGTTGATCAATTTAATTGCCGTGATTGCGATATATTTTTTTAGTTTTCTCATAATTGAAGCTGCAAAACCCCGGACTTATAAGCCTGTGTACATCCATTCTCAACCCTTCCCCCCCCTCCCACCTCCCCCCACCACTGACAGGGGAAAAAAATTGGGAAGGAATTTTCCGCGTAAGGGTGAGGGGTTGGAACTGTTTTTATAATATTCTATTTATTATAAATCATTCTATCCTAGGCGAGATGTGACGTCGATTCACTGACCTATGATGACAACACCCCTCTTCACCTTGCGGCAGGCCTGGGACTAGTTGGTGAAACAGCATTACTGGTCGCTGCTGGGGCTGATACCATGGCAACGAATAGCGAAGACGAAACACCTTACTCTCTGGCCACYACTGCTGAGGTACACCATTGAATTTAGTTTTATATTGTAAAATGGTTGAATTGATAAGCAAAAATAATGATGTTCTTCAGGTTAAGAAAATCCTTGGTGACGATGAAGGACCCTCAGATTCCATAACAACAAGCAATACAGGTATGTTKGTATACCTACTTCAGATAACATTCCTTATCTGCAAATAATAATCCGTAAAGTYCCACTGTTATCCGACAACCTTTGCGGTCGTTTGTTTTGTTTTGTAAACGATCTGTGATTGAAATTGCTTCCTGATTGAAAGGTTTTCGGATGCACATYGGCCTTACACCAAAAACAAATGTAGTATATAATGTAATATATATTGTCAATGAACAGCGTCTTCAATTTTSATTACCCACAGTGCTGACCATTCGTTTATACATTCTTCCTTCAATCCCGTCAAGATTTTTGAAACGGTTGTATGATATTTTTGACTGTGTCATTTCAGATCCAGTGATCACGGATATCGCAGATAAAGTGAACAAAAACGTGCAAAGATTCACGACCCCACCAGGTACGACGCACTAACAAAGCTAACAAAGAAATGGATGGATCCTGTACAAGTTGTTTGAAATCATGCATTTCTTTGGGAATCCTAGATTTTTTTCATGCAAATTAAGGGAATTGTTCACATGCTATGACGGTGGTGATTTTTTTTTGTGAAAGAGAGGTTGCTGGATTTTATTTTGTTGTACAAGTACATTACATTTTCATAAATAATATCTTTAACGTTATATCTGATTTTTCTTCCTTTCTAGAATCTGAAAGTCTTGTTAACTCAAGTAACTATGGCGACTATAAACACTGGCAAAACAGACAAGAAATGGACCGTGAAGACTCAGGCTTTGGGTCCCAGTCTGCAGAAAGAGACAATGGTACGATTTATAATAGATGGTGTTGATGGTTGTTGATAGTATTTAGGCGCTTGCCTGCATGATTGATTTCTTGATTGCATTGCTGCTTGCTGGGTCGGTGAGATGGTTGTTTGATTGGTATTTCGTAAGTTTACTGCTTCAACAGCTGTGTTTATATTCTTCTCTTAAGATTCGTTATTACTGTCTCTGACAACACACCCCGACAAAATAATGCGACCAATCACCGACCAAGAGCCTCGTTTTGATATACACCATGGCCAGCCAATGGGAAGAACGAACTGAAACAACCAATCACATCATGAAAACCATTGATATGCGCATTGAGCGTATTCATGCAGACCGCTGACCAAGTAACTGCAACTTCAGTTTCAAACTGATCAGACCCCGGMAACACGTCCACYTGCGTCGTCGAAGGAACAGTGTGCGCATGCTTGCAGACCGCTGACCATGGAGAAGCTGCAAAGCAGTTCTTTTGCTTTATTTATAACAMAAAATATATAATAGCGTTTCGGGATTTTTTGGTGCCGTATAAACTCCGTGTATATTATTAATTTAACCTTCCAAAACTAGAGAAAGTTATATTTCAACTTTCATAAAAAAATCTTTTCGCTCGCTGAAAGTGCAGTTGTCCATTCGGTAGCGAAATAGAAGCATCCGTGATTTTGTCTTTGAATTTTATCAAAATACCTCAATGTTACTGATGTATTGTCTATTTATAYGTCCTACTTTAAGGTTTTTTAAGTTTACCAATCTAACAGCGCCTATTTTCAAGTCTTACTTCCATCCACGATTTTTTTGCGCGATTTTTTCATATACGTAAAATTGACATCTTTTTTTTTTTTTTTTTTTTTTTTTTTTTTTGAATCGATCCGAAAGCAACTTTCAATTACACGTTATTTTTAAAACAAATCATGTTTTTCGAATACACCCGGGTCTTTTTGATAAATGATTGAATTTTTGGTGTATCAGCTTAGGTGTTTTTTTGAAATATGTTTTGTTTTGTTTTTTGTTTTATTTTCTCTCTCTTTGTTTTGTTTTGTTTTGGTTGGATTTGTTTTTGGTAGTTTTTTTTTTTTTTTTACTCAGTCGATTGTTGTAATATTGTACTCTTTATTCCTCCAAGATTTTAATAAATAAATAAATTACATCTGCCAATAATATTTGATAATTGGTAAAACTCTATATAGATATTGTCTATGACTATCATGCCATCCTCCGAAGGCAACTCAAGTCCACTACACGGGATTCCTGTTGTAAGAAGACTTGAYTGCGGAGGGGGGTATGTCTCACTATTTGAATTAGCTTTGCCTTTTGTTGCGCGCTTCATTATAAGAAATTGCTAAATTGGATTCGATATTTTACTGCGWGTCAGTTCTTCATCGATARACGAGCCTTCAGTTGTTCTGTTCAGCGTCGATATCTTGCTAGATGTAAAACTACAAGAGCTAACTTGAGCAACAAGTTCTTTGTTMTTCTTTCGTCGACATACACACTGACGCATGCGCCGTAAGAGTCGATTCAAAGGCCKYTTAAGTCTCTTGTTTAAGTAACCATAGAGATAAGGATGAACAATGCATCCAAAACAYACGAGAGAAACACTCGTGACGTAAGCAAGCTGGACAAACTTCCCAGTAAACATTGCGAGCAGKATGCACCCGAAGTAAAGCACATGACATGACGAAAATGATRCGATTGTGAGCGCAAGTACTCGRATGTTCTTCGTGAGTCGTCGTTTCCTTCCGGGCGCCATTCGGCGTTCCATCGAGTYTTCGCTGTAAAACTTAGCCGGAAGTGGGAGTCCGTTTCTATCTTGAATGAAGTAAATCAAAAGAAGAATATTTATCGATATAATCAGAGTGAATGGAATGCCATACACTGTGAATTGTAAAGAAGCCATTGATCTTGGATACCARAGAGACGAATGACACTTGAACTCTTGTARTTTTGAYGAAGYACTTTGWATAAAGCTCGTAGCGGCTGCATACGACGCAGAAACGAACCATGCAACCAAAATCAAAATGACTGACTTCTTAGGCGAAAAGTAGCGTTTGTATTTGTGTTTGAGAATGACAACGCTGTAGCGATTCAGTGCGACCAAGAACAATGAATAAAAGCTCGCGCACGTGACAAACTCGTTGATAAACTCTCTCGATAGACAAGCGTTTCTGTTCGCTCCAATAATTCGCTTTCCAACAATCATTTCTATTTGCAGTAGAGGAAATAATACTGTTCCTTGAAGAATTCCAACGGCTGCGAGGTTTGTTATAAAAATTGTCGACGCGTTTCGTAGTTTCTTGTCTTTTGCAAAGACGAACAAAATGGCGCCGTTTCCGAATGTTGAAATGAAGAAAGTTAAAGTTATGAGAAAGGCTGTAAGTCCAACAATGATTTCCTCAGTTTCTATCATCTTGCTACTTTCTGCACTGTCTTACTGAAGTTATGCGCAAAGCAACTAATTTGCAAAATGGCGCTCTTTATATTTGAAGATGTGGGCGCACATATTTAGGCGTGTTTTGATAAGCARCATTCTTGGCGTTTCCTTTGTCCGTTTAATAAACTAATTGTATTCAAATGTTCCATACTACTGTGCTAATTCTACAGTCAATTTCTAAGCACTTAATGCCWGGTTTTTCCTTTTACAACAATAAATATTCAATTTTAGTTTTGAAAGCTTTTTDGTCATTTCTCAAGAGACAAGTTACAACGAAAGCGTTGTGTTTTTGGCTTCAACGCGGGGGCGACTTGGCGTTTTGTTTTATCAAAGTTAATTTCCCCAATTCGTTGACTCAAATAATAAGGTTATCGCATGATTTATCTAGTGAAATGATTACCGAATACGCCTTTTYTCTTATCATGCCAAGCCATGGTCAAACGTTCAGTGTTTGTGGGTGTTCTAAGTGGCAGTGTTATGAAACCTCTTGAGATCTCATAAAATGTGTTGATAAACCCATGAAACAAAGTGAAATAGTAATAAGAGTTATAAAGTGGTTTTCATGCACCCGTGAAACAAAATGTACATCAATCGACTTAAAATAATGAAACGTCATAGAATTCAAGATGGCGGCCGTATCTTTGTGTAAGGTCTATTTGTAGGATAAGTTGTGTCATTTTGATAATCGATCGAATATAGTGATAAGCTTAAATCGTTTCCAAAAATCCTTGGACCATAGAATTATTTGTCTCCATGCTAACATTTTTCTCCTTTATTGTTTCACAGTTTTCCCTCTTAGTTCCCTCGGGCATCAATGTTGGGTGTTGTTTTGGATGCTTGTGTACTATGGTAACATGATCAATGACAACATTGCATTTAGGGAGTCAGGGGGGATGAAATTGTCTGCTGGTGTTGCCTAAATTGAGGAAGTTCGTTGGAATGGTCCAAGGATTTTGTCAACGATTGTAGTTTGAGTTTGTTTATGATCATGAATTTTGAAATAATACGTGTGTTTGGATAAGGCAACCAAGCGTTTCAATTTATTTCACGATTTATCGTTTATCACTATGAACGGATTTGAATAGATTTGTTTTGTATTTGCATCTCCACACATTTTGTGACTTTGAGGAGAATTTGACGTATCGTCACCATGGTTACAGTCTCCATCTATGTAACATTTGTTATCATGGTAACCAACCAATTTAATAGCGCCATTAGATTTGAACGGAAACTCCTTAGCAACGTCCAATGATCCGTCACTTCCGGTCGGCTGAGCAACCGAAAATGACGCCACCGAGCTTCCAGTTCTTCCATGTTTAAACCAATCACAGATTGCTGTCAATAGCAACATAATGTTTTTAAATTCGACCCTGAAACTTGGATTACGAATACCATAAATAAACGGGTTCAAAGTACTATTCATGAAGACGCACCAATAAGCGGCCAGAGCTAAATCACGTGATTTAGAGTCTTGACCATGATTGGCTGTGACATAGATGACGTATACAAAGTATGGCGTCCAGCATATTATAAAAACTATCAGCATTATAAAAACTGTCCAGGCAATTTGAGCTTGACTCGATAATGTACCAGACGCCTTATTAGGGGAATTTTGCTTGATACGACGATTGTGTTGGCCAGCGGCCTTAAAAATCTTGACGTAAGCAAATCCCATGGTGCTTAGCGGGATAACATAAGCGATGATGAAGACAATAGCTGCGTGTATAGTCTGGCCGAGAGATACTGGGTCTTGGACGCTGCATTGGGTGCTTCCTGAGAGAGAAAAGGATACAATTTTAATTGTTTATGTGCAATTTTTCAGGGTTTTTGACTAGTACACCTCACCTTGCTTGTAAACAAATCGTGTAAAGCCAAACAACGGTAACGAAGCGAACAACACAGGCTCGAACCACGTGACTGCCAGCATCGTAACAGTTCGTCGTCTCGTAATCCACCTGTGCAGCGGTTTCACTATAGCGCAGTACTTCTCAATACTGATGGCCGTTAAAGTCAGGAGCGAGCACATCCCAAAAACGATATTCGCAAATCCGTTAAATTGACACAACGCTTCACCAAATATCCACGTTTGCGTTAAACACGTGACTATGGAGAATGGCATGCACGTGATTGCCACGCCCAGGTCAGCGGCTGCGAGGTTCAAGATGAACATATTAGTACGCGTGCGAAGACTAGGCCTTCTGTAGACCACCACGAAGAGCATCATGTTGCCAAATATGGACAAAATCTGCATGATGACGAGGCTGGTTGTTAAGATCACGTGTTTGGTCCCAGTCTCCATGGTACGTAGGTATTGCATTCAAAAGGTGTAGAAAACTGAAAATGAGCATTGATAAACAGTTTTGATAAATTAATACTACTACCAAACCAGTAGTGTAGCCACAAAACCATTAATGATAAAAATCGTTTAGGAGAGCAGACTTGCAAGTCATTCAATTTTAAGTTTGCGCTATCAAATACTCTCTAGGTAAAAACTTAGTTTCGTATTTTATTTTATAGTTGACGCATAGATTTAAGTTTCTTCGGATCGCGGCCACCGAAAAGCTCGGTTCTTTGAAACATGTTTCACTTCTTTAAGTATATACATTAGTCCTAGCTAATTTAGTTTTTTTCTTTTGATGAATCTAGGATAATTCAGTTTTTTCTTTTGATGAGTCTAGCTATTTTTGATTAAGTTTACGATCACAATTAGTTATCAACGATACTCACCTTCTTGCGATTTATACTCTTCCTTCTTTCCTTCCCGAGATACAAATTTTACTTCAAGACTGCTTTGAACTTCAAGACAGCACTCTACGGCACATCACACGGAATTAGTGAAAAACCGAGAAAATTCCCACTTGACACGCAAGTTGTTCCAGCTGTGTTCCTAAAGTATTTGGTTTCACTCACTTTCGAAACAGAAAGAAGTACAGCGAGCTTAGATGTGAGCTTAAAGAGGGTCAGTCATGTGTCTAAGAACTGGATTAATAGAAAGATCATTAGAATATATCGACTCGTTTTCCATATATTGATGTTCAAGTGACTTGAAAGTAAAGGTGACGAGAGAGGGACTTTTATCTTCTGACTAATAAAATATACAAAACGCTCTTCATGTGAATATTGTGACCTTCGACACTTGATAAAGCGGAAACGAGGCTATTTAGATTAAAGTTAGTTTTCTCTWTCAAAGTATGTGCTGGAAAATTCTGAAACGAAAGGCGAGTCGAGTTGCTTTGCGGCGCAGTAAGACAGATTTATACCAAACTCAGTGGCAAGTTTTGTATTTGTATTCTAAAACCTACAGAACATTGATATTATATAATAATTATAAAACTCTTTTGCGACATTCTGCTTAGCAGCCGACAATGTCAGGGCTTACTTTTGCGAAACAGAAAAGTGTATTCTATACTGAAAGCTAATAGTATACCCTTGAAATCAAGTGCACTCCAAATGTCACCGTGGTTTACGAGGATTTTCTTCCGTTGTACGTGAGAAAAATCAAAAATTAAGCGGCGCGTTTCACGTATAACATACTGCTTTYAATCAAGTGGTGATTAAAATGGGAGCGGCCCTCTATTTTAGTTTTTTTTTTCAAAATAACTTCATGTTATTCTTGCTTGCATMAAAATCTATTTCTAAATTCCCAGAAAAAAGACTCAGCAGGAATCAGCTTACATGTAATGTTACACTGTCACTAGATTTTTGTGAAGTCAGCATTAATTTTGTTTTTTTCTTTCAACAAATAGATTCCCCAGAAATATTCCCCAGAAAAGCTGATCAAATCAAAGTCCTCCGAAAAAGATGAGCACCGTCGAATAGGGTGGAAAAATTAAAAGTTGTTTCACTATGATTATGGTTTATCACACCATGTCAGCTCTGAAAATGTCTCTCAAAACCTCTGTTAGTTTTCTAGCAGCAAGTAATCCGAGATTAATTTGGTTAGTTAGTTATTATTTATTATCATTGTTCTGTCATGAGTTGTGTTAATGTGGGAACGGACRATGTGCTAACATGATTTGTGACATGATATGCAAACACTACATTGACACATGAGTTTCATGTGCGGCTTGCTTCACAAGAATAACGAAAAGAAGCCATTTTATTTCGTTATTTTATCTGGTAAGTCGTCTACGTTTTGTGCGTTTTGTGTAGTATTTCTTTTCACGAGTTGTCTGTTTTGTTTAATGTTATTTAGTGTCGTTGAGCCAGATTGTTCTCTTTACGTCATGTATTCCGTGTTTGTAAATGTCCTCGTTCTGTAAGCGGTAAAAAATGTCCGCTACTTCATAAATCGTAGTCCATTTCCTACAGATAAAAAAGCAATTCTTATAAGCTTTAGAAACCTTACTTTCCGGTTCAACATGCAATTTTCAATGACATATTTATCAAAAATTGTAATCTCCTGTAGCGCTTCTWCCAAAGACGTCCATTAGCGCTGAATTTACCGAACTGTCAATATTTAACAAGTCRTTTTCCTGTGTGTAAAACAGGTAAAAGCCATGGAAAAGGTTTAGCTAAACATCGCAAAARCTCKRTGGGATTATAAGGATTTCTACTAGGGATTTTGTAATGTTTACATGGTCTTTGAAAGCTTCATGTTCCTGGATTTCTTCGCRGATAGCTGGTTTATGATTAACTGGAGCTATAAGGTTGTTTTGATAAATTAGTCCGCTCAGAAACTCTTTCATGCAGAGAAAGGTAAACTATTTTTGGAATGAATTCAGTGCAAGATAGTAAATATGACCTCTTATCTCGAAGCTCAAGTGCTTTCCGTGTATGTACAATTGTTTATTGAATGATATACTAAACGTAGAGATAATAGTCTATAATTGGAGATACTATAAAATATATACAGCTCAGCTCGTTTCATTTCAAAAACTGTTGAGTACTGAATGTCAACTGTAAATCAAAGTTTAGTGTTGTGAAGTCTCTGGTTGTTGTCTTGTGATTCGTTTTTTCTAACGTTTTGACTTCGTCATTTTCGTTCGTGAAATGCTTGATTTGTATCAAACTTCATAAACTTTAAAATATTCATTGCAGAACATGAACATGGACAGTGGTACCAACAACTTCACTTCCAATCCCATGGTTTCCATGGAAGCAATGTACAATGACGTCGAGCACGTGTTCATGGCAGGGACATTATCACTCATCATGGCAGCGTCCCTCGTTGGAAATGGCATGGTCTGCTTCACAGTCTACAAAAAGCGAAGACTGCGCACGCGCAATAACTCCTTCATCATCAACCTGGCCTTGGCAGATTTAGGCGTGGTTGTATTTTGCATGCCCTTTTCTTTGATCACGTGTCTTAAACACTACTGGTCACTAGGTGACGTCATGTGCCAACTGAATGGAATTCTGAACATTGTATTTACCCAGACATCTTTGCTATCCCTGACAGCRATCGCTATCGACAAGTATTGCGCAATCGTATGGCCTTTAAAGAAAGTTATGACGGTTCGGCGTGCTTTATATTTGATTATGTGGACGTGGTTGCAGCCTGTTTTTATTGCGGTTATACCATTTACTGGRCTGTACAGATACAGGTTTAAACCAGGTTAGACTAAAAAGCCAGAAATGAATGTCGGGTATTTGTGTTAGAAAGATTTCTTTCACAGATTTTGAGTGTGAGTTGAGAGGGAGAGATGGTGCGAGTGGAGAGTTGTAGGGAACTAACCCTCGTCACTTAATTGAGTTTCTGAGGAAAATAGGAAGGGATTGCAAGCGGACCCCACGGTTTTACGAAACGCCCCCTAATTAATATTTTCAAAAGTGTGGCAAATCTAACTTTACAGTTGTCACTGCCCTAAATGGTCCTAAATTGACACTCAAACATTCKCACATGTAGGTTACATTCACCCAATCCCCCCTTTCTCTCATCCCCGACTAATGTTGCCATTTTTATTCAGTATCACCGTTGTTCAATCTCATTTATATTATAGCTATCATAGTACGCACTCTCTGATTGGTCAAATATTATTGTTTAGATATTTCAGCGTTAAAAGCACGGATGCGAAAATTCTATGATATAAAAGCAATAAACAACATATTTTCGTGTGTTCCTGGTGAAATAAACCATTTGGGATATTGGGAAACACTCAAAAGCCTGAAAAAAAATGTTTACGCCTTTTTCGTGTTCTCCCGACATCCCGCGTGGTTTATTTCACGAAAATGTGTTGTTTATTGCTTAAACATCGATCGACAAGTCTTATTGAAAAAGCTGTATAACATCCAATTTTTCTCTTGAAAAAACAGGTACAACCCAGTGTGGACCAGAATTCCCCCGTAACCTGATACACAGCATCTTTGGGGTGTTTGTGTGTGTCATTGGGTACTTCATCCCGCTAGTAATTCTGGGATACGTCTACTCTAAAATYTTCCATTCAGCSAAACAAAGTGARCGTCGTATTAGTAGAGTTTCTATTACCAGCGCYACAAGTTCAAACTCTTTATCAACACATAAGAAAGTGGCAATAACTGTCATGATTCTTGTGCTTCTCTTCTTGTGTTGCTGGACGCCTTACTTTGCATATGTTATCATCATCATCGCGGAYCCRTYACTWGYYASAAACAMGCATGTATTGGCTCTCGGAAAAGCGAGCTATTGGATGGTGTTCTTGTGCTCTGCTCTTAATCCTTACATTTACGGCGCCAGGAATCCACAATTTAGGAATGAATTCAAGCTWATATTRTGTTGTGTCTGTCCGTGTTTGGCTCGTAGATTACGGGTCAAAGGTTGTGGTATTGCATCCAGCAGTAAAGGCTCATGGGGTCGAATGGGGGGCTCAAAAGAATCAAATATARTTCATAGATATGGGTTTGCTTATTCGCCRTATGATCGTGGAGGATCATCCGAAGGACCGGTGAGCCTGAATGAGTTCAACATTGAACAACGTTATGATTTTGCCTATTCRAGGAAAAACCAACATTTCATGGGACTCAAGMGAAATCGTGCCCCAGGGGGGTGGAGACATAAGAAATTGAGTGACAGTAGCGTGTCTGAAAGCAACCAAGACGATTCCACCACGGAATGCATGAGAATTCAGACTTCGCTTGGCSTTCGACCAAAASCYTCTCTTCAGCTACGCTTTGAGTCTGATCAAATGCCAACATCGMAAATGTGYGACGACGAACTAAATGGACAGCGGATTCATAGCTATAGCAACCATGTTAATGTGGACAGTGACATGCGCAGCCAAAGGAGCCATAGCAACCACAGTAATAACAGTAGCACGTGTAGYGAAAGGCGGTCAAGTAACTATAGCAACAATAGTAATCACGATCAAAGTTGCCATAACAACTGTAACTATAGAAACCACACTGACTSTTSCTGCAAATTAACCGACGAGCAAACTCGTTGCTATGTTAACAAAGGTACTGATAATAACAACAGCGATAAAAACTGTTGYCATAGYAACTGTCAATCAGGGTCTATTTTTAGAACGTTTATGAAGGAAGTCAATAGGTCGGACAGCACWAGAAGTAGGAGTTCCAAGTACAAGTGTAGATGGATAGAGAGCTCGGTGTAGTATTTGTTAGCATGCGTAGATTGTTTGAAACCACAGACCACTGCCAACGCAGGCTAACCTCTCAGCAGAGTAGTGATATCTGAGAAGTATACTTTTGTAATCGGAGGTCTTTCGGATAATTCGGAACTAGTCCCTTTTGAACAAGTTATGGCTTTTTGTATGAGTATCCTTTAGCCGCGATCCCCTCGTCAGTTGTCCGAGAGAACAATTTCTTATCCGATAATACTTATGAAGATCTTATTAGAACCAAAAAAATCTTGTTCTTACAACACAAGAAAATGTTATTAGTTGTGGCGAATGGAGATGTTTCAATGATCTTCCGAGAACAACAATTTTCATTTAAATAAAGTGGCACAAAGTTTCTGATGTATCAAGTAAATAAAAAGTGTATTTTACAAGTTTCTAAATAAGCCTCATTATACCTTATTATTTTTTTTGTCTCCGTCATTACAGCAATTTTCACGTTTTTTGGGGCAAATGCGGTTATATTGGAATTATATGGATATAAAGGGAAGCTTTGAAATTTAATGTCAAATTTTCTGATAGTCTATATGCGATGAAACTATTTAAATGGTGTATTAGCATATAAATAGCAATCGGCGAATCTGGTCGTTGACCTTTCTGACAATCGTCGAATCTGGCGTTTCAGTAGCTAGTCTGTGAGACACTTCGAGTAGATCTCACATTTCAAGGAACTTTTGTTGAAAAAAAACCCTAAAAAACTGTACGATTCGTATATATTTCCATAAGTATATTACGTCTGAATCCAGGTTTGGGTAAATACAAAAGTTAAATGAAAACATGGAAGTGGTGAAATGGCCCTGCGAAATCTTACTCTCTGACTGAAAGCCTAGAAATGACTGGCTTTACGCTTTCCAAGAATGASACTTTTTTGTAAGAAATAAAGTTGAAAGAGAATGACAGACAAAATATAAGTATCGAAAATGAGAATTGGTCCGAGAATTCATATTTWTTTTCCGAGACCATTCCAACCCCTCCTAGGCCAGCGTCTACCTGGTCTACGCACTAGCTGTCACTCAATCAAGTTCTGTGGAACTTTTCAATCTTTCGTTTCGTTCTCCTATCTTTCCTTAACTTAATAAATTTCATTCTTTACGAAGCACCATTTTGCTCTTTTTCTTTTATTTTTGGCAAAAAATYATTCCAAATATCGTTTTCAACAGAGTTCAATCCTCCGTCACCACCATTAGAGCCCAGTCCCTCTCGAGCTTGTTTTTGGCGGCCATTTTGTAATTCTGTTCGGAAGGAGTGAGCTTCCATCACTAGAAAAAATGTACTTGAACAGAGATTTGGTCCTGTTTTAAAGATCAAGGGATGTGGTCGCTACGAGTATGTCAATCTTTAACGTTTTCTAGAGCTTTGGTAAGTAGTTTTATGATGGTTCGATTGAAATATTTTCAAAATCACAGCTGATTTGACGAGCTGTTGTCACACACGAGTTTTATGCGGTGCATATACGAAGGCTATTACCTCCATAATTTTTTAAAACGCAATTTAATTACTGTAATTATTGTATGATCGCACTTTTGTATCTTTATTGTGTAACATCAAGAAATTACATTAAGCTTTAAGCTTTATATTTCTTACAATTTTTTGCGATAATATTAAGCTTAAGCTTATATGATTATTGTTCCATTTTCAATTCTCTTTGCCGTTTCTAGGAATTAAATCATTATTTCTCCACAGATTTACAGCAGGATCCAACAAAGGACCCTTCCAAATATTTATTGCATTCCTCAGAAATTAACCACCAATCAAAACCATCCATTATGCCGGCATGCAAGTAGTGGCTTATCATATTACGTCTCTCAAGACTTTTATCCCATTTACTTAGCACAGCAAACGCTAGAGGGTATACACTCTTTAACTCACTTGCCGTGGTGGGCAGTTATACTGGGGACTACCATGGTGTTAAGAACGGTTATAACGTTACCACTAGCAATACGGCAGAATAAGCTAGTGACAAAAATTGAATTGCTACAACCTACTTTAAAGATGATGTCYGATGCATTGAAGCATCGCATAACTGTGGATTGTAAGCAGGCAGGRAAAACTGCYGCTCAGTTTGAAGCCATTTACAAGAAGAAGGTAAAATAACCCTGTTGTCAAAATGGCTGCCTCTCATTAGCATTTTTTTCCCCAATGTTATGCAAAATSGCACACCTTATAGATTATAGTATATTCTTCCCTTAGAAGCTATCTAAAATCCTAGTAAGTCCCAATGAAAGCAATTCAAATTGCTTATTTTTTAGAGAARTCTATGTCTGGGGAATAGAGCAGATTTCGTATGACTGCAAAAGCACGGATCACAACACGGCACGGTCACGGAACGTTGCCTTCTAGGGTTTCAAATGAAAGTAAAGCTTTTCCAATAGATCACGGCTACGGCACAATACGGACACAGCACAACCAACCATGTTTTTTTGCACAATCATACGAAATCCAATCTAACTTCTAAATCAGACAGCACAATTTTTGTCTACAGCCATCGCATCCAAACTGTCCAAGGTGCCTTTACAACATGTCTACAACTGTCTTAGAGATTCAAAAAAATTATAATAATTGCTTAATGTCGATATATGACAGTTGTAGCCATGTTGTAAAGATGACTTAGGCATGTTGTATGTGATGATTATATGAGGCAAAAGTTGTGCTGCTCAGTTAAGCCCTAAGTCATGCCCCGACTAAGGTTASCCTGAAATGGTTTTAGTAACAACAGAGAATCCATGATCATGCCATGTGTTGTCAATATGCCATAATCTGTGCCATCCGACTGCACATGCATTGAAATTTCTCCACCTCTAGTTACTGTTATTGTCTTTTTTTGTGCAGCATCGTCGCATGATGTATGAGTTATACCAAAATGAGGGCTGTAATCCAATCAAAATGTTCCTGTTGCCATGGATACAGCTACCATTGTGGATAGTGATCTCACTMTCACTTAGAAACATGACAGGAACAAGTTATTCTCAGAGAAATCTCAAAGGTAAAGATAGAATAATATTATGGTATTATATTACATGCACTGGGATTGGTTAAGAACTCATTCATTCTTACATGCAATCTGATTGGCCAGTCTTCACAATTGCTCTTTTATCCTGTTCACATGCAGCTCTAAATAAAAGCCATTGTGATTGGCTGGCTACAACAATAGGCTCTATTGTTTATGCCTTGTTCTTTAGAGTCACTCTGTGTTGAGCCAACCCAGCAATGTTCTTGGGAGCTGTAACCTGACCCCTTTTATCTTTTCAACCATTTCYCAGTGGAATTTTTCTGTTTGAATAATATTTTCTGTAGTCAAGAGATATCTAATGATTTTCTATATTTATTTGTTTTTCCTAATTTATATTAATAATTCAATAATATTTATTATGAATCCTATTAAAAACATATATGCATGTACAGATGATATTAACTATAAAACAATATTTTATAACTGTAATGTTTTTAGCATTCAGTATTCATATAACTAAAGAATAGTAGAATGATCCATCRAGTACAAACACTAAATGTGTGCAACACTTTCCACTATTTACTACAAAATAGTGTTAATTAACAATAGAAAACAATAGAATAGCATAATKTAGCAGTATTTAGTGGTATTTATATTGCACAATTTTAGTGTTTGTACTCTATCACATCTTCAAAATTATTTCTTTCTAGTAAGCAGATTAGAGAACCACTTAATTTCTATAATTACTGTTTCTATGATGGAATTKTTTTGATGAAATGATGATTATCCTACACAAGAAGTTTAATTTACTGATGTTTCAGATGTTGGCCTTCTTTGGGTCTTTGCGACCTAATAGCCGATTTATATTATGGTGTCATTAACTACAACTACCAGAATGCTTTGCCAACTTTCTTTTGTAATGCAATTAGTGCCAATTKTTTTATTAATCTCCAAGGGAATTAAAAATCTGAATAGCAATGAAAATGCGCAAGGCTCTCTGGTAGTTGTAGTAAAGTTACGCCATAATGCAAATTCCAAGGGAATTTAAAATCTGAATAACAATGAAAATGCGCAAGGCTCTCTGGTAGTTGTAGTAAAATTATGGCATAATTCAAATTCCAAGGGAATTTAAAATCTGAATAACAATGAAAATGTGCAAGGCTCCCTGGTAGTTGTAGTAAAGTTACGCCATAATGCAAATGGCCTATTTCCAATATGTGAGTTTTGCAGCTTTTTACAATAATGTATGATTCATCAAAACAGAACAGATGTTGAATTGTCCTAAACTCAATCTATAAAAATACTAATTCAAAATCAATAAAGTATTACACAAGTTAAAATTAGTATTAAATATAGTTAATTATAACATTAGAAGTGTTCATCAAAATGCCTTAAAAAATCAAGCTCCTGTTTAATATGGCTGAGTCTACAGAATAAGTTTTCAATTCAGATCTGAATTGACCTATATTTTTTTATTATTTCATAGAATGTAATAAAAGTCAAACACCAATAAACAGCAAAATAAGAAAACAGGAAAATTTAAGGATATACAATGACTTCTTGAATTATGGTTTATCAGGGTTGTATGTTTAATTTAGAGAGCAGTTTCTAGTTCCAAATGAGAATGATTTGATCACCAATAATCATCCAACATAGGATCTCTGTATCGCTAGTTTGTGATTTTTCAATAGTTGCTTAATTTGATATGTACTTTATTTAGCCTTTTTTCCTGGAATTACCAAAACCAATGTCTTCCAGGTAGTTTGGCCTGTCAATGTACCTTGCCTTGGCATTTCTGAGTACGTCTTGTATTTCTTCATCAGTTAAATCTTTCTCGTTGACTTTCCTTAGTTCTTCTTCTAATGCTTTCGTCTTCTTTGCATCCACCTATTATAATCGTGCATCAGACTGTCAATCATTGCAATATGACGTCACTGTATTCATTACGTCATTATTCATCACAGAGTGTATATTACGTCATATGTCATTGTAATATGACGTCACAGTGTCTTACGCCAAAATTCATTGTAATATGACGTCACATTTTCTATACGCCGTACTGTCAATCACGGCAATATGACATCGTTATCGTCTTGTATCACGTTATATTATCAGTCAGTGTAATTCATGTATGACGTAATTGCTTTCATCAGAATCATACGTCATGCTGTGGTCAATTATCGCGACATGTCAAACTCTCAATCATTTGAATTTGATGTCATTACTTACTTAAATCATCGCAGTCAACGATAAACAAAAAAAAAAAACACCAATAAAATTTAAAAGTAATTAAAGGAAACGGAATATAAATGGCTATAATTACCTCAGCCATTTCTTTGTCAATTCCTGTATCTTTAAGCAGCTTTGAAATGTTTCTTGGTGATTTAGTTGGAGAGGARTATTGTCTCATGAGCAACGCCCTAGCTGTCGCCCTCTCTGATAACAAGTCCTTCCCAGCAGCCAGAGTGAATGCATGACGAAAGTGATGCTTAGGGCTTTCTACTTCCATGTTAGCACCTTCCTTGTCTTTAATCCCAATGGAGAGTTTTAGYTTTTGAATGTCGTTAGCGAATTCAGACATTTTGAATTCAAGTTGCTCAACTTCTTCACACAGCGCTTGGAATTTCTTGGAAATCTGGTTAATATCCATCTCTTCCTGGTCAGATTGATGAKKTTTTGGAGGTTTTCCAGCAACGTTGTTGCTGTTGTTGTTGTTCTTGATTGTCTTCATGGCGTCCGTAGACGCGTTGTTGTTGTTATCACTTTCTTTGATTGTCACTAAGCAATCCCGCTCGCTCTTCGGAGTACGATAAGAACGCTCGCCTTTTCCTCGTGAAAAGGCCCTTTCCGTTCCTCTTCCGCTGTCACTCGAGTCTGAACTCCTGTCGTCCAGGCCCTCTCCGCCTGAAGATGATCCATACTCAGGCACTTCCGCTAATTTTGATGACTGTCTCTCCTTTCTCRCTGGGCTTCCTGYGGTATCATAACTTTTCCCGCCAAACGATTTTARTTCCGGTTTSGAMGATGACGTCATTAGCATAAACATAGGACTCGACTTGCGTTTGTCCGAGTCTTGAGGTGTGGATTTAGGGGGYAGACCCCCTCTTGTGGGCGTGGTGGGAGTTTTGTCCCTCTCGTTGCTCTTTCCTTTACCAAAGCAGCTCCATCGGTCTTGATSTCTCGCGTTCTTGTCATTTCCTCGRAATGTCCAGGATTTTGTGTGATTRCGAGGGCTKTCGTCCTCTTTAGACGAGATGCTAGAGCTTCTTTCGTATGTTTTCCAGTTCGCTATCTTCTTGTCGTACTCCTCGTCCGAGCCGCTCGAAGGTGCTGGTGASGATGAWGATAACGATGACAACGATGTTGATGATGGCGATGGCTGTAGCGATGRCTTCGAGCCCAGAGGTTTCTTTTTTGGACTTTTAATGTACTCGTACTTAGCCARTGTGTCCATTGTAACTGTTTCAAAGGTATATTTTCGCGGGCTTTGTTGTACAGAACCAGTGTCTTCATTTGAAGTRAGGCTTCTTATTGAGGTTGATCGCTTTACAGGGCTTGCKGGTGGCGTCCCTTTTCCTTCTAATGCTTCTAGACGCGATCTTAAGTCGTTACARCTTGATGCAGATCGCATGAGCGTGCTACCTGATTTCTTGGGGCTTTTGGCGATTTTTTCRGCRAGTAGTTCGGTGTAGAGTCGTTTTGTTTTATCGTCTGTTTCCCACCATTTGTACTTGGCTGGGGAACTTGCCATGTTATCAAACTAGCTGTGTATAGTAAATAGTGCTAAGTTAGTTGATAGTTAGAAAAAGTTGGTGGTTGAAGTTAAAGTGCTTTCTTTTTAATTTTTTTTTTTTTTAATAACAAAACTTTTTATTCACAAACAAATTTCGATACAATACAATAGTTATACACTACTAGAAAGTTAMAGTGCTTTCATTCTATCGTCGACGAGCACTTCAAAAGAAATTGCATGAATTGGTATTAAATAAGTATTAATAAAGTTAAAAATTGTTCTAATTTGAACAATTTTGATAGCAAATTATCTCATGAATACAGCGAGTGCATTTTGATTAAATGATCTGCTGGGGAAGATCAGAGGGGGTGCACTTCACAAAAATTTACACAAATTTGGGGAAATATTGAATGATTTAGAAGGTCCAGGAGGTTTGGGCACCCCCCTGACCCTACCAGCTGGATCTCCCACTGACCTGCGAGTAATGGCAAATTAGAATCCTGGATGGGATCGRCCCTTCTAAAGTATCACTTAATTATCACAAATTTCTAATAGTTAACATTAAATCTTGTGTCTTGTGAAAACTTATACAGTTTTTGACGGAAACGCATCTTTCTAAATTAGACGAAAATTCAACGACATTGACTGCGTTATGCCCCGACATGGCGACAGAAGGGACGCTTTGGTTCCATAACCTCCTTGTCCCTGATCCCTACATGGTTTTACCGCTAGCTGTAGGACTTTTTAATCTYACAAATATCGAAGTAAGTGATTTTTATACGCTGTTTATCTTTGATGTCATCCCGTACCGTCCAAGATTTATTGAAGGAATAAAAAAACTCTCGCGTCGTTTACAAATTCAGGGCTAAAAACGAAACTAAGTGTTTTCGAGTCTTTCAGTTTTTCCCTGATCCCATGTTCTAAGCCTAAAGCAATGAAATATCGATTGTCGTGGTTTTGAGTTAAAATAAAGCACGCAAACTCRAAGAAAAGCCGGATTAAAAATTATGACCAGAGCGAGTATTTATAATAACAGTTCAGGCGTGCGTCCTGCGTGCGTTCACTCCCTAAAAGGTCTCTATTTTACTCAAGCTTCAGATTTTTTTAAAAATGGAGATAGAAAAATGAAGTGATATTTCTTTCTAATTTTATCGATATTATCACATAATTTAAGGCAATTTTTATTGATTTTTTGTGTCATTTGTGCTATGTTTCTGACAATTGTTGACGCAAATTCGTTGATCCGTAATGGTACCATTTCACGCTTGTTGAGTTTTCACTCGATTTACGCCACAGCTTTGGGGAAGAATTGTATCGCGTATAGCTCAAAATATCTGCTTAATTCCCACTAAAGTTCGTCTGAACGCTATAGGCCACGTGTGTATAATATTTCATTTGTTTTTCAGTTCAAATTTCATTATATTACTTCACTATTTAGGAAAGAAAAGAAATTTTCTCGTCCACCACAATGTAAGAGTTAAGATTCAGTCCTCCAAGAGACCAATTTATAAAGAGTTTATGCAATGAACAATGTATATTATTATGTCAAGCAAAATTCTTAAAAACCAGAACTTGATGTAAACAACTTTTCACAAATAATCGAAAAATAAGACTACATTCGTGAACTTTACCTTGTTTTTTCTTGASGGAGGCTCCCAAAACCTCGCTAAACTTAAAAGTCGGATAAAAACCCCAAGAAATCTTCACAGATGAATAGTTTAGGCGTTCATCGTGTTGTGTACCAAGGWTTACTAGACTTTCACACCACACCTGTTATCCCAGAGATTTGCCTGGTGAATTCTAACTGGCTGTGTTAAAATTCAACCGGTTTTGGCGGCAAGGCGCGGCCGTGACAACACATTGTGAGCCAAGCTTCAGTTGTGTAGTCACAACACWAAAATAGCGCCAAAATTTCTCAAAATATCCTTGCAATAAGGGAATTTTTATTTATTGTCGKACAAAAGTAATTTGCGAGCGAAATTCTATTATTATTTCTTGTTGAACAGACAGTTGAAGTATATAGCTGTTCGCGTGAAAACGCCATTTGTTTCATCGTTTGACGTCTTTTTTATAGAGATAAAGCGACTTTTTCCGTTGTGTTAAAAATGATTCTCAAAGAAATGAAACGTTCAAGTCGTATTTTGTTTAAAGCTAAAACCAACTTTGAAATGATTATTTACTTATATATCTGCTCGTGTTTCCGACGACATTCCGTCGTACTTCCGATTGAAATTCTTGGCTTTGCTTTATCACTATTCCCACTCCGACTGCTCTGGAATTGTTATCAAGATTTATTTATCTCGAAAAAGTAAAATAATTGCGGCAAATTTAAACAAAGAAAGCAACTTAGTCGGTACTTTGTACACTTTATACTTTGTCAATAGTATGAATTCAGTTTTTGTAAAATACGGTTTGATTGAATAAAGATTTTTTTCATAAACGCGACGCTTTGTGTGTATCAATTTTCGTATCTTGTTCCCGTTATAATCCCAAACTTGTTATTCCTGTGGGCGCGTTTTGCCATTGGCCAGGGAGTTTATCCAGCAGGTTTCACCTAAGTTTAACAGGTGGAGCTGAACAGACGTAACGAAAGCAAAACGACAAGTCATACGATCATTATTCGTAACAAGTTCGGAAAGTACTCGTGAAACATTCGTCAACTTTCCGTTTCTTAATCGTGATTCAATCGTGATATGTTTAACAGGTCGACTTGKACGGACGTAAGCCGAGCAAAATGACATACCTCAATACGAACCTTTTTCGTCAAGTTCGGAAAGTAATCGTTAAATAATCCAGCGCCGTAGCTACGATCAGGCACTTGCCTCGGTAAAATTTTATCGAGTTTTCTTTAAAAAAGTTTCGATCAGTGGTGTAAGATAAAAAACTCACAATATGCTTGGCAAAACGCTTGAAATCAAAATGTTTCGGGGAAGCATGCCCGCGAACCCCCTAAATACGACCGCTTCCGCCGGTCGCGTAAAGTGGTTAACATTTTCCTCTGGTTACGGCGCTGTAATCGTTGACTTTCCCTTACTTGAAAATTCCATGACCCATAATTCATTAATTTTGTTTTCATTGTTGTTTCCTGTTGTTGTTTTTTGAGTGCTAGATTTTGTCCAAAGTGATTTTTTCATTATATTCCGTGTTTTATTATTTAAAGATACATGCACTACGACGTAAAGATCCAACAAGACTTCAGCGTATCTTGACGAACTCACTTCGTATTGTCTCTGTTGCCATGGTAATGTTTGCATCACAAGTGCCAACTGTAAGTTCAATATATACATATATAATTCTCCCTAATTCATTCCACAAGAACTCTGCCATTTTCCACAAAACAATTTTCTGTCTATCTTGTCAGAAGTATGTACTAGGGTTGTAGCCAGCATTTTCCACGTGAATCATCCATTTTCAGAACAGGATCTTTCTAAATCTTGTCGCTACTACCCTGTGCAGATAGACAATATCACTCTTTGTTAAGAATAGACGATTTACATGATACGCAAGGTCGCTTTAAAAAATGTTGAAGGTGCACACTTGAATACGAGGTAATTTTGTGAAGAGATCGAAAGCTGATTTATATTTTTGTGCCAAGAGTGCTATTTTTGAAAGCGCCCTGTATCTCAGTAATCGTCCATAAATTATCTACCTTTCCCGTATAACAATGTCAACTGTATATTCCCTGTCTTACAAAAATTCCCTTCCCCTCCGATCTATGGTATAACAATTGTTACTCTCCCCTACCCCAACAGGCAATGTCWTTGTACTGGGCAGTTTCAGCTGGATATGGAGTAAGCCAAAATCTTTTAATGAAATTACCAAGAGTCAGACGACAGTTAGGAATACCAAAAACCCCAAGTGAAAGTAAACAACCTTTTAAGGACCTCAAGAAMCTAGCAAATATCAAAGTACAAAATTTCATTGAACGACAAAGACAGGATCCATGGAAACGAAAGTAGGATGATGAAACACTGACATTGTGAGTGCTGTATRTTTTTGCCTGGAGTGGGTTTCCTGTGTTAGCTAATTAACATTTTTACCACAGGAAGCCCATGTCAGTATTAAATAATCCTAAATGGGTTGCCTGTGTGTGGCAGTAAAACGAAAGTTTGAAAGAAATGATATTATAAACAATTTAATTTCAAAGTGCTTCCTAAAAAGTATATGGAAATCCATAAATATTATATTAAAAATTATATATTTTCAGAAATAAATAACCTTTACCTAACGCTAATTTTTCTGGTGTTCAAAAACAGTTCCATTGTTCTTGGTTTAGTGTGGGTTGTTGTTAAGTAAATATAGTTTTAATACATTTATTTATTTGTTTACTAATTGTTGACTAATTGTACATATTTATTTCCTCATTAATTTTGTATTTAAATAAAGAATTTTAAGAATACAATATTATAACTCTCCTCCATGCTCTTTTTCTTCTAATTCTTCCATTTCTCTCTTGGTGATCGTCTGTCCATTGCACAAGCAAGCGTTTCTTTGCGACTCCTTATAAGCCGAACAACCTAAAGCCATAGTTCCAGAGTAAAATAAATCAGATGAAGATTCACAAGCTTTCAACTCGTCTTTCTTCATTTTTTTTCCAAGTCCCTCTAAAAGACAAACATTGTCTAAACAAGACTTGAAGTCCTCGTCGCATTGTATTTTGTCATTGTTACAAGTATCGTAACATTTGTCGTGTATGTTGCAACACTCAGTGAACCCTGGTAGATTACTTGTGTCAATCTAGTAGAGAAAACATTGGCATTAATACTGTGGTTTTGATATCTAGTCTTTACTGACTTGTCAGCATGTCTTCATAATGATTAAACAACTGGTAAATGTCTGTCTGACTGACCAACAAGAATACATTCTTAGCTGAGATATTAAGGCCGATTTAGACGACACAACTTTTGCCTCAGGGCTATTAAGCAATTGTTTTTAAATCCTACGACAGTTAAAGCCATCTTGTAAGGACGCCTTACGCGGGTTGCATGTGATGGTTGTAGGCAAAAGTTGTGCCGTCTAAATCGGCCTTTAGAGAGCTTTAAGCATGTCATTCACGGCAAACTGCAGAAAGATCACGTGATCTACTTTTTAGGGGTTTAACGTTACAGTTTAAACACAAAAGAGGATTAATTTGAGTTTGCCATAATTATCAAAAGCTGCTCTTTCCAATGACTACCAAAAGTACAAGGTCAGACACGAAATTCTTAGGTCCAGCTCTGGTTGGTTCAGCTCTGCCGTTTGCCGTAAACGTGATGCTTAAACTCTCTATTACCTAGTCTCATTCCTTTTGTTGGGCTTCCTGTTCCACCAAAAAGAATACTCCTTTTAGTGGACAGGAAGTTTAACAAAACAACACACCTTCCACTCAATCAATAAGTAGATTTAGAGCCTAATTTGTACCTTTATTCCCATCGATCCACAACCATTACTGGATGGCCTGTGACTAGCATTAGCTAATGGCTTATAACCTGTGAATTACACACTATATATTAGTATGAATTAGTGTTTATCAATAACCATCACTTCTTAGAGTGAAATCATTAAATTTGTAAAACAAAACTTTGACTATTAAAGTGTGATGGTCAAATAAACACAAAAGAAGACAATGCAATTAGAGCATCCTAAGGTTATTAGCATAATATTTTCACATTTTTTTACTTAACCTGATAAATCTATAATGTTAACAAAGTATAGAATCTCAAAGTATAAAATCAAGAAGTCCATACTAAATTCTGAATTTCTGTTAAAAAAATATGAAATTATTAGAAGAGTTTGAAAAGGTAATTTTTAAAGGCACAACAAATTAGGGACAAACGATTTTAAAGTAATGATGCAAATTGTTTTATTTTACAATCACCATGGTGTTTCAATGTTTCCCAAAATATTCCAGGAATTTATGGATTTTTATTCATTTTTTCCATGCTTTTATTTTTCTTCATTGGTTATGAAGACTTAATGATCTAAAACTGAACTTCAGCTGATCAATTACAGCTTATTGTAGATTCTCCTTAATTTGTTGTATTTATTTAAGATTAACTATATTATTATAGTGTTGAAACAGGTGGAAATTTTAGCCAATCACAACATTCCAGGTCAATGACTTAAAAGACACTGGAATCTAAATCGCCATAAAACTTACTTTTACAGAAAACACTTCATAAACTAATGAAAACATTRAAAAATAAATATCGCAGTTCTTTAACTTAATAGATTGAACTTATTAACTSTGAAAATAAAACTAAAATCCTTCAACTTATGATAGTTCAAACGCTGTAAGTTTAGCTGCAACATTTTTTCCTGATTTCAAAGGAGAAACTCCTTGTTTTTCCCTCAGTGTTTTGCTAAGTTTACAGCTAAGAAATCGTGTTTGAACCAGTTCAAAGTCATTTTGAACTTTTTTGACGAAATCGACCTACAGGCCTGTGTCTTCGTATAAAATGAACCCACATAAAAAAATCACTATTCGAGACATAATATAAAAAGAATTCAGACTGAAAATAAAACCAYGATATCATTAATTGTCAATATGTGGAAGTTATAAAGTTAAAATAACTTCACTTAACAGTCAGTTTAATAATCCTACCTTTCGGACATCGGAAGTAGCATTGACTTCCTCCAGAAAGTTCAGCCAAGATTTTCGCYAAATTTCCAAGTCCTCCCGCGGGATTWTCACTGCTATATACTAGTTCTATTATTAAATATARGTATAATATAAAGAGCACTCTAAACTTGACCATCATGACTGTATTTTTCTGAGCAAGAACTACAAAATGTTGAATTGTGACAGGCGCTTTGTTACCGGCTTTGAGCCCGCAATTCAATCCGCTGTTCTAAATGTGACGTCATTTGCATACGATAAAATCTAAAAATTGTTTGTACATTTTAGGATTATCATTTATATTTTCTTTCTACCAATGAATTGCAATTGAAGTAACCAATAATAAAGCAAGCATTATGAAAAGAAAATCGGTCAGCCAACCAAAACACAGGATGTTGTAGCTGCTGAGAGCCACTTTGGGCGAGTGCCCTAGCTATCTGGGTCCTTGACTCGAACGGAGAAGGCAAACTAGACTGAATTCCTGATGACAATAACTTTATTCGACCTTTCTCGTCGAGAAATTTTTGGGACCGCGTGCTTGCCGTCCCACAATGCAACTTGACAAAATATAACACAGGGAAACCGTACGATAGTTATGCTACATGGCTCCCCCAGACATGAGAATGTATGAACAATAACAAAAAATGATACTAAATGTTAATAACTAATGTCAATAAAGTGTTTATGGCTCCTCGTCGGGGAACTATCCCGGTGAAGCTTCTTGAATGAGTATCAGCTTGTGAATGGGTCTGTCCAAATATGATCTTCGATTGTTGCGTGTTAGCAATATCTGAACCTTGCGAACTAAGCCATCGGTGCTTGGATAAACTTTAACAATCTTTGCGAGTGGCCAACTGATTCTAGGTAAATCTTCGTCACAAAGTAGAACTATGTCTCCGACTTTACTGTTCCTCTCAGGCTTGATCCACTTCTGTCTTTTAGTAAGAAGGTGACAATATTCTTTATGCCAAGTTCTCCAAAACTGTTCCGATAAACATTGTACTCTTCTCCATCTTTTTCGTGAATACACATCAGGTGGTAAGAATACGCCTGGTGGCGGCTGCACTGTTCTTGATTTCAGCGTGAGTAAGTGATTCGGGCTGATTACTTCTTCGCTGTCTGGTTCACTCATGTTCTGTACTGTAAGAGGACGACTATTTACGATGTTCTCAGTTTCAACAAACAGGGTGCGCAGACCTTCGTCGTCAAGTTGAGTTCCTTGTGTTTTCAGAAGACTGGAGAGAACAGTACGCACCGTGCGTATCTGTCTCTCCCAGGTGCCTCCCATGTGTGAGGCACTGGGTACATTGAATTTAAACTTGATAAGATCACAGTCATTCTTCAATAAGAAACTCTTGACCGCATTTTCATCTAATGTAGACTGAAATTCATTCTTGGCGCCGATAAAGTTAGTTCCTTGATCAGAATATAGTTGACGCACCTTTCCTCTACGACAAGTGAATCTCCTCAAACCATTTATGAATGAATCAGTGTCCATTTTGTTCAAAGTCTCTAAGTGAATTGCACGAGATGAGAGACAGGTAAATATTAGTCCCCACCTTTTCACTTCTTTACGACCTTCTTTCACATAAAACGGTCCGAAAACGTCCATTCCTGTGTATGTAAACGGTGCTGCTGGAGTTACACGTTCTTTGGGTAGGTCACTCATCTTCTGGGTCTGTCTTCTTGCACGACACTTTCGACATATCACACATTGAGCAATAAAATGTCGCACTGTTGATCTTCCGCCAATGATCCAATAACCACTTTCTCTAAGAGCGTTGAGAGTTATGCCGTTACCTTGGTGACCTTGTTCTTCATGCACGTGTCTGATGATCACTTGGGTGATGTGGCTGTTCTTAGGTAGAACGACTGGATGCTTCACGTTGTACTCTGTATCAGATTGTCGTAGTCTTCCACCGACTCGAATCACTTGACGTTCGTCGAGGAATGGATCTAGTCTAAACAACGAGCTTTGTTGTTTAATGCTAAGATTTCTTTCGCGTGCCAAGTGACGCTCGCTGAACATGTCTTCGTTACCATCTAACTTCTTTAAAGTCTTGATTTCGTCTGTATAGCAGTCTGCTTGCACAGACTTAATGATAGTTTCTTCAGCTATGTTCAGTTCTTTAACAGTGAGGAAACCTTGTTGTGGCCTCCAATTATGTTCTTTGTTATTTCTTCTCCTTTCAATCATGCGTTGGATGAGGGCAATACTCTTCTTCAGGCGGTAGAAAGAAGAGAAGTTNCAAGTATTCCATAACTTACCTTTCCGCGACTCTTGTCAATTACGATGCTTGTCAGCGAAGTACCGCCAAGTGATGCCAAGCTCTCAACGGGAGTTACTTGATTGGATTTCTTGTTCCAAGGGAAAAGCCAACTCTTTTCGCTCTTTTTGCTCGAACTTTTACTTTGTGTCGAGAGTTGAGATTTGAGGCTGACTTTGCTTGGCGAAGCATCTACGGATGGTTGACGGTCTTTGCAATTAAAATGTCGTGGTTCGTGACTGCTTGTATTGTGAAACAGCACGTTGTGAAGGCTGCTGTTTTGCGACTTCAACGAGGCTTGTGAAGCTTGATGAGATGGGACGTACTGCTCGGCCTCATCGGGTACTGAAACGAAGGATAATCATTTCAATCAAACTAAGCATTCATCGATTCATCGACATGTGACTGTCTGTCAGTCCCGACTGTCTTTCTTTCTGTTTTTCTATCCATTTTTTGTTCGAATTTCACAGTACGCGCTTTCTTAATTGGTTCTTATTATCCAATTAACTCCTAAGTTGTTGATGACGTCACGCTAATTCAGATTTTCAACTTGTAATTTCCTTTTTTGTGTCTCTTTATTCTTTCTTTTTTTCCTCCTTTTTTCATTTGCGCTGAGATGCAAACTTTATATTTCTTGAAAAATTGAAAAAAAAGAAACCAAAAACGAAAAACGAAAAAAGTTTTATGGACATAACCCGAACATACCCGCCGCAAAGTTTGCGAAGTATGTACATAAGACTTATTTTTGTTTTATTTCTATATATCTAGGTTAGTTTCCTATTATATATAGTTTTGAAAACGTGGAAAATGTGGATTGCGATTTCAATGAATTATAGCAGCAGAAGAAACTGATATTTTTAACGTACAGAAACAACATAAAAGTGCAGTGTTTTGTATTTACCTTGGTCGTCATCCACAGCAGTGCTGTTCACGATGCAGTAAAAAAAGAAATTCACGACAGCATGCCACGCTCTAGCAAGACATCCTGTAGGGCGTGACTTTTGCTTGCGCTCGTTTCTTCTTTGTCTTAAACGATCCATTGTGATATCTACGAAGAAAATAAGTGAAATCATGACGAGTTAGAACTTCGAAAAAAAAATCGAAACAGCGCAAAAATATACTGTTTTGGCTTGTTTACTTACCGAAACTTTAGGATTCATGAATGAAATATTAACACTTTTTGTGCGAAAAACGCGAAATTTGAAGATTTCAAGAATATTTGACGCTCCTGAAATAAAGTGACGTCAGGCTCCTGATTGAAACCTGCATCTAATTGGTTAATTTATTGTGACGTCATTTTGATTGGCACTTTTTGATTATGCAATTAGATTCCAGGCCCCCAATCTAATCTTAAAAATTGATTTTTTATCTCAATTCATAAAGTATAAAGAGATAATAAATGTCGCACGCCGGATTTAGTATACACCAAACTATGGGCTATGATTACAAATCCAGCATTGTGATTGGCTAGTGAACTTTGGTACATTCATGATAGAACTAAATGGTCTTCAATTTCAAATTTGCCCTGATAGTTTGGTGTACTAAAACAGTAAGACCACTCGTTCTCGTGAGCTAAGAATTGATAGTATACGTCTAGATAATTATTTTATCCCCAGGACTAGAATTAATGCAACTCGTTCTAGAGTCATTTGGAAATCCTGGAGTTTTGGTTCCATTTTTCCGTCTACCTTGTAATTATCCTGTGACGTCATCGTGAAAGAGGGCATTTGAGTACATAATTATTTTAATGTAATCAAAGACCTTTGTATGGGTCATTCATAAAAGTATTGAATATATAAAAACTAGTTTGATGGAAGAATTTGCCTACTTCGTGTAGTTGTCTTTGAACAAGCATGAATAAGGCATTTTCGATGGAAAACAATGCAAAACACGCTTCTAAAAACATTGCAGAAATTGTATTTTAGGCTTAAAGAACAAAGAAAGATCACTTAAGCTGAACGGCTTATCATTATCTTGAAGTTGTTGCTGTAAGTTTTCACTCAGTAAAATTCAAAATCTGAGAGTTTTGCAGTGTATCAATGGCTATAGTTTCCTTCGATTACAAGATGGCCTGGAAGAACTAGAAATAACTTGTATTTCTGATGATGATGCAATGGACTCAACATTCTGTTAATTCGTGCAAAAAATTTATGACTTTTCAGAATGACATACGCTTGATTAAGTGCATTTTTGCAATTAAAAAACCTCACCCCGCTTCGCTTCATACATGACTGAGTATAGAAGGCGCTTTGATTTCAGTCGGAACCTACAACGAAGAAAAGTAAGTTTCTAATCTAAGCTATCATGCATTTTCCATGTTTTCACTTAAGTTGTCCATCCAAAGACATTCACTAAACTTTCCTTTATTCGTTATAGATTTTGTAATGTATTTCAATTCAAGTAGCTTTCTATAGCTCGAATGCATTCATTCTTACTAATGAAAACATGGATATTCAATTTTTTATTCCGTCTATTCACGAATCAAACGGAAAAATTCCTGAATACTTTTTCGAGATTTGATAAACACTTTGAAAAGTGCAATTTCTTACCATTTTCGACAGATGAATCCAAATATGTTAAGCATTGTTTTATTTTGATAAGTTTTTTTAAGCAAAGCACGATATTTATACTTTGTCTGAAACAACAAACTTCTTGTTAGTAAAAAATGCATGTTTTGAGCTACCCTAATATCAATTCGATATACATTTCGATTAATTTTGGGTGCATTTCAAAAAAAACCAACATGTTCAAATGTTGATCAGTAATGATTGCCTCTAAGTAGTCGTTTATTCGGCCAGCGATATCATAAAAGCATATCAACATTTAAACTTAACAGATTTAAAACAAATCGGATTTTTTTTCTTTTTTGCTCTTCTGAAATGGCTGTTTGCGTCACATCCTTCACGACCGAAAGACCACCTATAGCACTTTTCATTGAACCATTTAACATCTTGTCACGTTCAAAGACAGTCACAGATACGCAGTAGGCGATGCGCAATATGTAGTATAGACGATGCGTAAACGTATAAGACGATAGATTATACATAGGAAGCGGTGCGCATGCACATTACGCGGTGCCTAATACGCAATACTTAATACGTAGTATAGACGATGCGTAAACGTATAAGATGATAGATTATACATAGAAAGCGGTGCGCATGCACAATACGCGGTACCTAATACGCAATACTTAATACGTAGTAGCGATGCGCAAGCGTAATACGCGATACGTAATACGCGATACGCAGTGCGTAATAGGCGATGCGTAATACGCAATAGGTGAGCATTATGCGTCATATACGCCTCCATTTTACGTGCGTGGGCTGAGTTTTGACGTTGACAATATTATTAGAACTATAGCCTGTATTTTTATTTAAAATAATAATAAACTTTATTGACATTCATTGTAAAAATCCAGTATACTTTTTAAAAATTATAAAAAGTATCATTAGTTTTTTTAGCACGAGTCATGCGTCTTGTTTTGATTTCGGTACTGACAGCGTTTACGTGACAGCGTTTTTCATCGCGTTTATAAGTAAAAAGTGGAAATCACAACGAATATAAACAGATTTTTCAAATGCTCCGATTCTTTACAAGTTGCGCAAAAAGTGAAGATGTGGCTCAAGGGCGGTACTTCTGTCTCCGACATATTGTACTATTTTTTACGGGAGAATGACTTCAACTGGAATTTTAATGTAGTTTAATCAAGTAAAAGACACAAAAGATTTCGCCGGAGTGTAGGAAATCAAAACTAATTGATATTTACTGCATATAGCTAGTGGTGATTTTTTCTTACAATTCAGTTTTTTCCATACGACAAGGCAAGGCTCTGTAGCCATTCCGTATGTTTTCTGTGGTGCACCGAACCATTAAGTTGTTCGATCAATCAAAGCTTGATTTACATATCTCTACAAACCTTTGACGTTCGTACATACATAACTAGACGCTCCTGGAKCGTGAAGTCGGACTAGCTATTTTTGAATGTATATCATGACGTAGAATATTATATTTTTTACTTCTAATACATAGTGAAAGCAAAAATGCGTGACCGTTTATTTATACGATACGATATTCTTTTCGACTGCTCACTCTGCAACGACTTCAAAACGATATAAATCTAAATTTTGACCTAAAAAGTCATGTAATTAATACCCGGTAGACAAGATGTCTCTAAGTGATATCATATCTAATACGTTTTTAATTCAAATTGTTGACCTCTCAGGCCAAGAAAATGAATACTTTTCAAAAGATGCCTATAAAATAATCAAAGTCGCCTTTTTGTTATTGATAAACAAAGTTTTTCTTGTTCTAATTTGAAATCTTTGCCCAAAAAAGACTGTCTAGCGCTAGAATTCAGTTCCGTAAGMATACTACTYGAAGCTCCATGCGATCGCACATGCGCGTACTTCTGATGGCTAGACTGATGCATTCCGATRAGATCACAGATACCACATTTCTAAACGAATACTTTTTATCACATAAAAGCGCAAGTAGACTCTGACATTTACTAACGATATTCTTACATCTATACGTTTGAGCTTCCGGTCATATAATAACACAGCCAGCTCAATAGTTAATTATTAAATTCTTAACTTCCGGTGGTCCAAACGCGACATAATACATAGATAGATAGATAGCTTGGCTAAAAGGTAAAACTTAAGTCGACCTAGCCTTCGGCTAGTCCGACTAATGAAGAGGTTGTGTGACGCGTGACCGGGACAGTTTGCGTTACGCGTGACCAAAACTAAACACAGCTGYGAGGAGACTACCTTCTTGATCCTCAACTAAAAGTAATGCGTTAGAAAGAGGAGACACAGGAATCCCAATTTGTTTGTTTTTTTCGTTATTTGTTTTTTTGTATTTTTCAGTATGAAAGCCTTGCTTTTGTGCAGTTTTGGGGTGACGCTTTTAAGCGTTGCTTTCGCTACGGTAAGAACATGCAAAAACAATATTCTGTTAATTTTTTTCTTTTTTCTCCTTTAAAAATTTTAAATATTTTTTCCCAAGAATTTGCCAAAAATAGAAAACATCGAAGACGGTCTCCAAGAAGTTGATCAAACCAGATTACTTGACTATCCGAACGAACAAGTTGATGCACCCTCGGAAAAACGAAAGGATGACGATGAATCGCCGAATGCTCACRAACAAGAAGAGCAAGCTCTAGAAGATTCGCTGCCGAACAAGGGACATGTATTGTTTGACAAGGGAAAGAAAGAAAGTAAGAAAATTACTATCATATCATTCATATCATACTCGGCCCCAACCAATAATTCTTTATTTCATACTAAGCCTCAATCAATAATTCTTGAAACCATACCCAGCCTCAACCAATAATTTTTCATATCATACTCAGCCTCAACCAATAATTCTTCATATCATATTCAGACTTAATCAATAATTTTTCATATCATACTCAGCCTCATCCAATAATTCTGCATATCATACTTAACCTCAACCAATAATTCTTCATATCAMACTCAGCCTCAACCAATAATTCTTCATATCATACTCAKMMTCAAMCMATAWTTYTTYATATCATACTCAGCCTMAACCAATAATTCTTCATATCATACTCAGCCTWAACCAATAATTCTTCATATCATACTGAGCTTCAACCAATAATTCTTCATATCATACTCAGTGCCAACCAATAATTGTTTATTTTCTTTGGTAAACATAATAGTACATCGATGCTCGTTGCCACTTGGTATGGAAAACGGGCAGATTCGAGACTCAGCCATCACAGCGTCATCTTATGCCGCTCTTCCTGGTTACCGGGCCTCTCGCAGTCGATTGAACACGGTCTCTATTGGGGCAGCAGGTTATGGGGCCTGGGTTGGAGCCACAAATGACGGCAAACAGTGGCTACAGGTGAATGGAAATTTCAATTTGCGTTAATTTGAGTAAATTTGTAATTATTTTGCTTACACGCCCTCCATTTGCCTCATATTTTCAATATTATTTTTGTTTTAAGATTGACCTTAGTGAAGTAGCACGAGTGACCCGAGTCGCAACTCAAGGCAGATCTGACGCCGACCAATGGACTAAAACTTATTCCTTAAGCTACAGTTTTGACGGTATCCACTGGGCTTTTTACAAGATCAATAGCTTTGTTAAGGTATGCAGCTTCATTCGGGCACCCTGTGCTTTCCACAACACAGGAAGCCCAATCATAAAACCTTTCTTATGGTTTTATTAGTCAGTACAATGTTTTCTTTTTTTTACAGGTATTTACCGGGAATACAGATCGGAACAATATCGTCAGCCATAACGTTACTCCTTACATTGAGGCTCGCTATGTTAGGTTTAACGTATTGACTGCTCAATCCCATCCTGCATTGCGAGTAGAACTCTATGGCTGCAGAACAGGTTCGTCCAGCTTGATCTTCATTTTTTGTCCTTTTTGCCACGTGACAATAGATTTGACATCGTCAAAGAAGATACAAACTTTTGATTTCTGAAGTTTAAAAAGGAAAAGTAACATTAGTTTCAGTAGCTTTCAGTCTCTAAAAACCGACACAGTTCCGATGCGACACCGATACAGCTCCGATGTGACACCGACGCAGCTACGATGCGACACTGACACAGTTCCGATGTGACACCGACACAGCTCGCACTAGTCTTAAAACTAGTTGTAACTTCGACAATATTGTCTTATAACAATAAACAGCTTATACATCTTTATGAATTTACATTATATTTCCATTAATTAACCACGAACAGTGATTTTTTCAGTGTGCCCTTATGTTGCTTTCTTATTTGTCCAGTTCACAGCTGCGCAGAAGCAGTTGGAATCGAGGATGGTCGTATACCCGACAGCTCAATGTCAGCGTCTTCAGTTCTTTCATCCGCATTTTCAGCTAAAGAAGCTCGACTAAATCTGCAGCGCACTGCCTGGATKCCTAAAACACAGGATGGTAATCAGTACTTGAGAATCGATTTAACCAAGGTTTACAGYGTAACCAAGGTTACGACTCAAGGAAGGTACAATATTGACCAATATGTGAGGCGATACACAATTACGTCGAGCCTTGATGGAGCACACTGGGTTTTGTATAAGCAAGATGGTTATAATGTGAAGGTAAGGGAAAACAAAATGACAAAGAAAACGRAAAACCGAAACGAACAGACCTTTTTACCAATACAGTCGCCATCTTGAATTCTAAGATATTATTACGCATAYGGTAGTCTTACGCGGTCTTCCAGCGGGCAAATACAAAAGATTGTTCCTTTCTTATGTTTCAGACGTTTATGGGCAATAACAATGGCAATACACCCGTGTCGCACCTTCTGAATCCACGCATTGAAGCTCTTTTCATTCAGTTCAACCCAGTGACGTGGCAAAGCTACATTGCCTTGAGAGTTGAAGTGCATGGATGTCCCTCAAGTATGTGAAACACMGCTCTTCCTCCTCTTTGTTATTTTTCCCCTCACTTCAACCATTTGCAAACATTCATTTTTTGCCGTCTTTTCCTGTCTTCTGCCCTCCCTCTCTMCCMCCTTCCATTYTCCCTCACATCCTCCCTCCTCCTCTCCCCCTCTCTCCCTTCCTAACCTTCTACCTTCCTTCCTTCCTCCCTGCTTCCTCCCTCCCTCTCCTTCTTCCCCTCACTCCTTCCTCCCTCCCTTTTCCATCTGTCTTTATCCCTCCCTCCCTCACTTCGTCCCTCTCTCCTTTCCCTTCTCCCTCCCTTTATTCCTTTCTGCATCCCTTTCCTCCATCCCATCCATTTTCCCTTCTTCCGTTTTAAAAGGCTGAACATACTTTCACTACGGTGTGGTTTATTTTTTCGTTGCTGTAATTTTTGTTTTCAGAACCAATATGCCGTCTTCCTCTTGGTATGGAAGATGGTCGAATTCAAAATGCCCAGYTGACAGGCACAAGTAGTGTAGCATTCGATGCAAGATTGTATGGCTCGAAAGCGTTCATAGCRAGTGCTAACAATGTCAACCAGTATCTTCAAGTAGACCTCGTTCGTGTTGTTAAGGTACACAACATACACGCCAATTATACTGAGAAACGTTTTCAGGGCTCAAAGAGTAAACTTTGAAACTAAGATGGAAGGGGAGTTTGGATGTTAGGGAATGTGAATTATATTCGGGAATGGATCTGGGGGCGGATCTGGGGGTGGGTGGTGTCAACAGTGCTAAATGTAATACTTACAGTTATTTTCACATCAACTCATTTTGATCTGTCATCAAATTATCAATTGAAACAATAACGACCCTTTCTTTCTATAGGTTACAGGCATTGCTATGCAAGGTCGCCCTACCTCAACACAATATGTGAAGACTTATACTGTCTCCTATAGTGTTGATGGATCGCATTGGGTCGATGTCAGAGACTACAGCCAAGTCAAGGTAACATACAAATGTACAAACAACAGAAACCAGGGGCGGATCCAGAATATTTAGAAAGACGGGGGGGCCGGTCACTTAAAAATGATTTTGTGTCACATCGACCGCCGAAGGCGGGGATATATAAATTTTGAAATTCAAATCATCAGAAATGCCATTTTTCAGCACTTTAAGAGATAATGACAAGGATCTTTCCAAGCTTTTTTGATAAAAGGTGGGGGGAGGAAGGGGGGGGGACGACCCTGGAAACGACCAACTTTTAGGAAACTGGGTACAAGTTTTAATCGTACTTCTGGACCCTTTTGGCTATTTTGGCATTTTCTAATGCTTCATTCAAAATTGTCTGAAACGAGGACATATTTTGCGAAAAGAGGTTCAGTAATCAGCCAAAATGTTTGCTTCTACTTTATTGCAATGTTTGCAAACATTAGACAAAGAAAGACCACAAACTAAAAAGCATACGAATCCCACAAGAGGAGGTTGAATTTATAAAAGATTTCTAAAATGTACCCGTTATTAATGGAATATGTTTATGTTGTCTTGATAAATGTAGATATTCTCTGGYAACAATGACAGAAGTTCAGTTGTTAGGAATGAATTCAATCAACCTTTCTTCGCCCGATTCGTAAAGATACATCCTAAATCATGGCAAGCTCATATCGCTTTTAGAACTGAGCTTTACGGCTGTGAAGCAGGTACGTTCTTGCGGCTCTAACCGTTTCTTCCCGGGGGGAGGTACTCTACCCCGTTTTGSAGAGGTACGTGCCGCCAGCGGTCTAAATCCCTGACCCTGTTGAAGACACTAGAAAGTGAAAATCCACACCCTGTTYAAGACAAATCGSAAAAATAAGGAATCGCTATCTACGCCGCAAYCATCAAAGCTGCAATTAAACTGACATCCATCAAGGACAATAAAAAGTTTTTGATAACACGTTAATCCTGCTACAGTGAAACGGTATTTCTACTATTTCTACGATATTTCTTATGAAAATATTACCCTGTCTAAGACACAAAAAAAAAATATATCGGTCTTTTATCTAAACTGTAGAGCCTGTTTAAGACAATTTCGGGTGAAATGTATACCCTGTTTAAGACAGCAAGGCCAAAAACCATACCCTGGCCAGCGGCACGTCCCCGTATAGCAAATATATGGGAGTAACCCCCTCTCTTTTTATAATAATTTCTTGCTTCGTATAGATGGTTTGTGCTTCAAGCCACTTGGTTTAGAAGAYGGAAGACTATCAGACCAACACATCACAGCATCCTCATACTACAATGCACACTACAAACCCGAGTATGGCAGACTGAACAATGTCGCTATAGGCTCAAAGAAAGGCTCCTGGCTAGCTAAAAATAACAATCCAGATCAGTATTTACAGGTGAACACGGGTCTTCCTACCTTCCTTGCCTTCTCCCTTTCTTTCTCTCCCGTTCTATATTCTTTCTTGACTCCTTTCTTCCTTCCTTTCTCTCTTCTCATCTACTTCTGTACATCCTTCCACCGTTCTTCTTCCTTCTCGAGAAGAAAGTAAGGAGGSGGAAAAGGATCGAAAGCTCTCTCTTTCTCCATACGATCCCTTTTCCGCCTCCTTACTTTCCTACCTGTCATCTTTACTTTCCCTCACTTCTTTTCGGGCGCTAACCTTTCCACCAAAATGCAACGTTCTTCTTTTTCAAGGTGGACTTAGGACGACAACATGTCGTCACTAAAGTAGCAATCCAAGGAAGGTACGAAGGTGCTAATTTTGTGAGRAGTTTCACGCTTTCGTACTCCCAAGATGGCAGCCATTGGACATATTATCGATTGGGTGGTGGTGGAATCAAGGTAGGCTCTATATTTGAACAACAAGCCAATAATGAAAGAGTTTAGCAAACAACTTAATTTATTAGAAATTTGATCGGGATGAAATCGGAATTTACTTTCAAAAAAGTCGTCAATTCCCTCGGGATTAAATCGGGATCTATTCGGGATGAAATCGGGATTCACTCGGGAACAATTTAAGATTTCTTGTATGATGTTTGATGTTTATCATACAGGTATTTGGTGGTGTTGCCGATCAGCATTCCATTCGCTTTAATCACCTTTCTCCATCGATTACTGCTAAATTTGTACGTATCCAGCCGAAGACATGGCAGGGGCACATCGCTATGAGAATGGAGTTATATGGATGTCATCTAGGTATGAATCGTCTTGCACTCGAGATAAAATCGGGATAAAATCGAAATTCAATCGAGATAAAATGGGAATGTAATTGAAATAAAATCGGAAAGTAACCGTGATAAAATTTTATTAAATTGTATTTTTCTGTTTGAATTTGCAAATTGTAATTTAGTGGCCGCGCTCGGCCGCCGTAGGCCTACTAGTCTTTGCATTTCATCTTTTTTTTCTTCAGTTAACACATGTATGGAGCCGCTTGGAGTTGAGGATGGGAGAATATCAGGTAGCGCCATGACTKCATCCACTGAACACAGTGCGAAATTCGCTGCCAAATTTGGACGTTTGAACATAAAGGCGACTGGTACCAACCATGGTGCGTGGTGTAGCAAAACTGCCAATAATAATGAATGGCTTCAGGTTTGTGAAAAAGTTACAATTCTGTTGTTACGTGACTTTTGTTGTTTCAACGTCATTGTGTGACTTTGATAATGTGACTTTGGGATCATCACTGTGATACTTGTGACTGTAGTCTTGATTGCGTGATAGTGATTATGATTATGTGACTGAAGTAATGTAATTTCATGTTGCCATTGTGT